AAGTGGTTTTTTTGCGCGTTATTGTGTTGTTTACAATAGAAATTAATCTGTACCTTGTTGTGGTCACCGATAGCAACAAGCGTCAAGGTAACATTGTGGCCGTCAAATCCATCTGGCATGTATAAATTGGCCGGCGAAGTATTCGCCAAAAAAATAAAAGATGGTTGTCGATGCCCTAATATCAAGATGCCATTAAATTAAAATATACTTCTCCAATTTTGGTCATTTAAATCCACTTTTTTTTAAAAAAAAAAGTAACTGTAGCTACCGCCTTCCAGTGCATGTATATCTGCATAGAGAAGAATTTTTTGCAGGCGACCCACTTATAGAATCTTGCAATAAATGTATTTTTGTATTTTTATTGCTAAACGTAGGAGAAAAAATCGATTAAATTAAACTGCAGCCTCCAGAAGTTCCAATTCAATGTTTGGTTGTAGTATAATGAAATAAAATAATTTCGAAATCGGACGCTTTGTTTTCGTATGGTTCCCATGTCAAGAAAATTTACTGGGCTATTTCGCCTTCGTGGGCGAACTGGAAGTTTCACAAAAACTAAAATTTTAATCTACCGCCAAATATTGAAATAAAGTCCTTGAGCGATCTAGATTTAAACTATTTGACTAATTGCGAGTTTAATGGACAATAAATTGCACAATACGATTCATCATTTTGACAACGAAATTATGAAAGTGATAATGAAAGTTGGGCACGGTCTGTAGAATCTGCATAACTTATTCGATTAATCATACGCCTCATAATTTCACCTTTATGAGTTAATAGGTAATTATACTAATCACGGTATAATTACAAAATAATGTTGGCAAAGTCTCAAAGCATTAGATACACTATTCAAATCGAGATGCTAATTGATCCTGCCCATTTTGGCTAACGAAGTGCGACCATTATCTGCACGTCGTCTATCCTTTCACTCTATAAATTTGCGAAGATACCGTTAATTATATCTAGTTATAGCCTACGTGTAAAATTCAAGTGTTCAAATAGATGTGTAAAAAATTCGGTTCAGCCATTCGCGTGATGAGTGAGGCGAGAAGATTTTTAAACTTCTGATTTAAGGATTATAACATAAATTTATGTCATTTACGAAAATTGCCCCCAACCATTATTGAGAAAAGTAGCGATTTTTTTAAATTAAAAAATAGGATTTCTTATTTAAGTCTAATAATTGGTTCTATTAAAAATTAATATGCGAGTTAATATATGTTCGCAAATACAACATTCAATTATAAACATAGAAAGAAGCAAATAACAGTTCGAATCCGGATAGGTTGTTATTTACATCTTGAAAGAACCCCACATGGCAAATTTCGTCAGGATCAAATTTTCGAATTTTTTTTTTATAAAATCAGAAAGAGTAAGGGCAAATTTTTCTATGTTTTGAGGTTTGTGGGGGTGAATCTATGGACCTAGTTTTCAAATGAAAAAATTTCAAACCTTTTGTTCATTTTGAACAAAAAAGTTTTGACCCCCTCTACGATCTCAGATTTTGGTTCTGATGCTGACCTGAACGTTACTGTTTTGAAGAGCTATCAAAAGAATTTTTTTGAAGGTAGGTACTTATCTATTATTGTTGAACGGCCTACCGATTTCAAAATAAGTATAGGGGGCCAGACAAAAAAATTATCGGGCCTATTTTTATTTATTGGAAGACTGTATATTTTAATTAAAAAGGTACCATATCAAATTCTCTTTTCAAAAATATAATACTAAAAATTTTTTAAAAATTACTATTGATTGTAACAAATTGATATCTTTTTTAATTTTTTACATTGATTCACATTTGAACATTTTCTTTTTAAATTTGATTAAACCCTTTTTTTAAATTTTTTTGAATATCATCCCCGTTGTGTTATAATTTTGAAAAACATGCTATCTTAACAACACCAAGTTTGAAAATAACTTTCCACTATGCGATATGCTTATCTTTACTTGAAACATGTGTGGTTAAAATTTCAACAAAATATCTGCATAAATAAGAAAGATTTTGCGCAGCGGGCGCATGCGTGAATTATTCGTCAAGCTTTTCTTAAGCTAGCATTACACTTGTCAATTTATTCATGAATTAATTCACGAATTTATTGTCGTCAATTTCTTCACGACAGGGTTTGGTTTTTACATCTGTGAATAAATTGGTGAAGTTTTTGACAAATCTGTCATTGGAGCAGTGGTGCCATCCCAATCAAAAAAATAGGTTACAGTTGTAAAATGTTTTGTAATCATTTTTGCTTACCTTTCCACAACTACTCTTCTCGTTTTTATTAGACATTTTTTCGGGTAAAATGTAAACATAAACATATAGTCATAACCTCACTCTCTCTGATATAAACAAAAATTTTTTGGTTGGTAGCACTGAACTTCACGGTAAAATTGGCGAAAAATAGAACATGTTTTAATTTCGTGAAGAAATTCACGAAGTTCTTCGTGAATTTATTGGACGTCAAAGTTGGTGTATTACATTATACAATTTCTTCATGAAGTAACTTCATGAATTAATTCATGAAGAAATTGACAAGTGTAATGCTAGCTTTAGTTGGGGTATAGCTATACTATAAGCTACCGAATGCAGAAAAAGAGAACGAACTAAATATCTTGAAAACTGTAGTTAAGGTCTCGGCTGACGGACGAAGAAAGTGGCCATAATAGCGCCTTGGAATGTAAATTTCTTAAACAAGTTGGAAAGTACTCGATGTGTCGAGTTACTTAAGCGCTTTTTTGTGTGACGAATCGATGTTTTATTTGTGCTGAAATGTAGTCGCATCTTGTGTTCTTCTGGGATGGTACGATCAAAATTTGAATCCGAAGGAAAATCAAAATATAGTCAATTTCAGTATTTCAGTGTGTAAAGCGATGGGGTATACAAGAGGGAATTGTTTTTTAAATATTGATTTATGAAAAAAAATTATTCTTCATGATATTTTTTGCTTGCTTTGAAAGTACCAATAACGTTTCGATAATCTAAAATTTATTTATAGAAATCTGGAAAAAAATAAAATTAATTTTTTTATTGAAAGTTATCATTCTACATTATAATTAAGGTAGACTATTGCTATCAAACCACAAACAATCGAAACGTTATTGGTACTTTCAAAGCAAGCAAAACATATTATGAAGAATACATTTTTTTCATAAATCAATATTTAAAAAATAAATTCCCTCTTGTATACCCCATCGCTTTACACACTGTACATATTTTCTTAGTTGAATTAGAGACACAGAAAAATTGATATTTCAGAAGTACTTGCTGAATAATCTGCCCTTTTCAAAATAAGTATACGATTTCTGCTAAAAAAAGCGAGTAAAAAAGGTTACCGGACCTAACCTCATTTGTTAAATAGATTATCCTGTATATTTTAATATAAAAAAATAGCACACTAACACATCGATATTAAAAAATACTTGAAAAATACAAGTGCTTCAAAAAAATTCAAAAATTTGAAAGTCATTATAAAGAAACTCTTGTAATGAACATTTTTCTGTATATCTTTTCACTAAGAAAATATAGGGTCGATTTGAAATTGACAACTCAAATAACACTTTACCTAGCTAGCTCAACTTTACACAAATTAAACCCTAATCTTCCCATAAACTTTATTCTTTAACTAAAGAAAAATCTTAATCTCAGGGTCCAACGGACGCTGGAAAAATCTCAACGATCAAAACTTCAGAACATCGGCCGACCACCGGGAAAATACCGAATACCGAAGATGTCTCGTTGCTCACGAGGTTTCTGAAAACAGAGTTCTGCAGGATAAAGTGGACCTTTGCGCCCTTATATATATTGTATAGGTACGAGGAGTATATTTTTTATATGAATTTTTATATGTATTTGTCTTCTTTCGCCAATTTAATAAAGGCATTATTATTATTATTATATGTACATACTTTTAAACGATAAATGAGACATTGATGTATCCCTATCCGAGGATGTATCGATAACTTTTTCTTCAATTTTCCGAGTTCTCAAGAGAAAAGGTTGCGGATGTACAGTTAACATATTATGCCACTTTTTATGTCGTGCATAGATACCAAATTTCGCTTTGGAATATTTTGGGCACCCTTTCTCAAAGGTGCGGGGGTATAAATTTCTTGGGAAAACCTGAGGGAGAACCATTGCAAAATCAAAAACGGCAACTCAAAAACCTAACAAAAATCCTTCTGTATCAACGTTGCTGTAAAAAATTAGAGAAGGGTAAATTTTGGACCTCTCAAACGAAACAGTTCGCACCTTCAGTTTATTTGAAAAATACCATCCCATCACTCCCGAAAAGTTCTCCATTTTACAAAACACTGGTAATATAAAGTGGTAACGCACATTTCGCGCCAGTATTTCAATGCCTTTGTTTATGTATAACTAAAGTTCTGAATAATTTGACTGGCAAGGCAATATACAAAGTAGCTAATCGTTCAAGTTCACAAAAGAAGTGGAAACAACAATAGGCCAATTATTCTTATCGGTATCGGTAGTGTAGTTAAAAAGAAAAGTGGTTTATACCTTTGCATTGGAGGTCGATTATTCATAACAAAACATGATTCACTATTACCCATGTGCTAAAAATACGGAATGAGAAAGAAGCTATTTCGTCGAAGAACCCAACTATCAACTAAAACTGAAAATGTTAACAAGAAATTTAGCCATATTTGCAGCACATGTTCACGGTAATAAACCTTCGTTTGTTTACATCAGTTCAGTTCAGACAGGCCAAATGACTGCTAGTGCGAAGATTGAAGACAAATATTTACTACTTCGCGTATTATACAAACATTTGTAGAGGCGCTAACAAGAAGAGATCGAAAAAGAGCGCGCGGCAGTTTTCCGGATGTTAAGTGAATAGTACAAACAATGCGCATAAGGTAATGACGGGTAATTTAATTGCAAATTCATGGTAGTTTCAAAGCACACGTCGTACAACTAGAATTATTTATGTACTATAAAAAATTGCTAAATTGGCAATTAATGGAAAGTAATTAAAATGCAACCTTACCTTGACATCAAAAATGATAATCCTTTTATATGTTCGAGTTGTAAATAACGACCACAATAAAGATTAAATGAATTCGAGAAGTTTGTAAACAAATACGCGTCGGATTACGCTCCGAACAAGCAACATACAACTCTATCAGCAGTAAACGAGCGACTGACTGGCTGACTGAACTGAAGTGAAGCTGGCCTGCCCTGCCTGAAAGCGTGCATCCGCCGCCTGCAGTAGTAAAGTGAAGGTACGGGAAACAAGAAATGGGGTAAAAAGTGAACATTTCGCACAGGAGATGAGATTTGGATTGTTCAACAATAAACAAAAAGGACCACCAACCTGAAAAACTCAAAAGAATTCACCTGAAAAACTAAAAGGAATTCACCATAAATGTTGGTGCAAAATTAAATTGAAAAAAATACAAGATTTTGAACAGTAGTAACTAGAATACTAAAAATATAACTCATTCAAAGGTACACCTTTGTTTATTCCATCCAAAAGATGACAAACAGAGCGGTTTCGACTTTCGAGATCACTCATCTTATCTAAAAGATGTGCGACTTCATTTCTCAAAGCTTCTTCGATTTGAGAATATCCTATTGGACCGGGAGATGGTGACATAATTTTCTTAGGAGGCCTTGAAATAAATGCGTTAGTAGATGTTATTTTGCTAGCATTTAAGACTTACACATGAAGAAAATAACTGGTTCAACATGACGGAGCGCCGGCTCATTCTATCTATGATGCTTATAATATGTCTTTGACAGTTTGACTAAAATTTTTGAAGACAGGAGCCAGAAGGTCCGTGGCGTTGGCCTCCTAGAACTTCAGATGTAACACCATTGGGCTTTTTTGTGTGGGCTCATAGAAAGACAAAGTTTACTTCACATCACGCCAGTTGCTTTTCGTGAAAACTGGAAGTTAGACTGGGAAGAGCTTTTAATGAAATGGATGTAGTTAGACATTAGAGAGGCGACTACTAACGGAATTAATCGGAGGATCCTATTACATATGTAGATATTTAAAAAAAAAGTGACCACGTAGAACAAAACCTCAATTGATGTTGGTTTTTTTATTTTGTAGCGAGTTTATAATTTTGCGGTGTCTGTTTGTCTGTCCGTCCGTCCGTTAGCACGATAACTCGTAAACGAATGGACCGATTACGATGAAATTTTGCAGGTGGATTCTTTATCAAATTTGTAGATCGGAGTTCGTGAATTGGCAATGTAGACCAAAAAATAATGTAGGCACTTTTGACATTTCCGTTAGTTATGAACCGAATTGCATGATATTCAATATGCGCATCACCTTTTTAAGGTTTGAAGTTAATAAAGTTGTCCATTAGTTTTAAAACACCCTGTGCGAGGGCGATCAAAATTTAAATCATTGTCACCTAGAATCAAGCCAGTACTGTCGATTTTTCAATTTTCAAAAACCTTGAATAACTTGAAAACCTGTGATGCTGGGTATAGGGAAAGTGGTATCAAACGCCGTAGATTATTATCATCTGTTTGATGTAATAAAACATAGGGTGTTCTATTTAAAATAGGAAAGTTGCTATCGACATCCGGTAGAACCGGAAGTAAAACGATCACGATAATATTTTCATTCGATAGATCATGAAAAACTATGTTGGTATACAAATGTTCAGATTTAAATTATTAATGGAACTTTTAGGTAACGTGAAACAGCCTGTATACTATACTGGAATTTTTGAAAGTGGAATGACCATTATGTTTATAATAGAATTAGACCCCTCTTCCCCTTTCCAGAGTTCGAGATCGTTAGAAGCCGTAGATGGGAGTGACAGGAGTGTGTTAGTCCCATTCGAAGCGGGGCCCGCCCAATCTCGCACACATTTCATGTAGTTATATATATATATATATATACATAGATATTTGTACTGTTGGAGATGCTTATCACAAAACAGAAACTACTCTGCCATGCAAAGTTTGGGAAGCTTTCCAGCGCCATCTCGCAATAGGGTCTTCCTGAAAAAAAATATTGTAACTTTTTTGTGTCTTACTGTAAAGTTTATAACCTGTAATTAAACATCTCATACACAAAACTGTTTTTCCTTATTGCAGCATGTCAATAAACAACATATTATAATATCGTAAAACTTTCAAATTTTGTCATGCAACCGACGACATGCCGATATTGGCCGAGCGTCGCTTACGTCACTACGCAAGTTGCCGATCGGGAGTTATATTAGTGCATGACACTGATAGGAGTTCGATTCGACTTATTATGGCAATCTGCCATAAACCGAGTTCTGACTGGTTCGTAAAGGGGCAGTTAGATAGTCTGCCAAAGGTTGAAGTGTTAATGGTCGCCGCCTTTTTCTCGAAAAGTGAGTTTTTCCATGCCACTCGTTTGAATGGAGTCAAAGCCCAGAAGCAAATCTGTTATGGTTCATAGGAAGTATAACATCAAGTTATGTGTGTATAGTGCAAGGTATAGTGTAGGTACCTAATACAGTATGCACCTTACGGATTTCAACGAGAAAATTAGGGTGTGAGGAAGTGAAAATAGAGAAAAATGTGTGCGCTGTAAGGGCACAGATATGCCCAGAACAGAGTTCGAAGTAAATCATATTCTGAATTACAATTACAATATTATATATCTATGGATTTTCGTCGATAACTGACTGAAAGTAAATCGACATTATGCACTTTAATTAATTAGAATCGTCTTCACAACAATACAAATGGGATGTCAAATTCGCGGTATCACGTCGAACTTTTTTCGTATATTTCCTGTTGGGACGTTTATACAGGGTGACAATTTGAAAACTTACCACCCCTCATATCTTAGTAAATAAACGAGATATTTAAAAAAATCAAAATCCGTTTCGGTAATTCGGAGGGGGAATCACAATGACATAGTTGGCGGCGCACCCCCTCCAACCCCCTGCGCCCCAGCCACCCCAACTTTTAAATCTTAAATAGTGACCCCCCATGTGTGATACGTCGTTGGAAAGCTCTGAAAAAATGCTTTCCAGCCATACCAAATAGCATTACATTTAGGTTAGTAATTATCGTGCAAATCAAAAAATAAACATGGAAAATCGTATTTAACTTGAACTTCCAAAGCCGACTTGACAGCAACTCATTTTTGATCGCCAGTTATAATCTATTCTCAAACTCTTGTCGAACCTTTTCAAATGTTGGTTTTGCAATATTTCGACATTCTTGAATTATTCTCTGTCTTAGTTCGTCTATGTTCGCCGGTTGCGTTTTAAATACGACAGATTTCAAATGTATCATATTAGTTTATTTTTTGATTTGCACGATAATTACTAACCTAAATGTAATGCTATTTGGTATGGTTGGAAAGCATTTTTTCAGAGCTTTCCAAAGACGTATCCACACATGGGGGGTCACTATTTAAGATTTAATAAGTTTGGGGTGACTGGGGCGCAGGGGGTTGGAGGGGGTGCGTCGCCAACTATGTCATTGTGATTCCCTCGCAAATTACCGAAACGGATTTTGATTTTTTTTAAATATCTCGTTTATTTACTAAGATATGGGGGGTGGTAAGTTTAATAATGTCACCCTTATACAATTTATTAGGTTCGCGATGACTTCTGCTATCACACTCAGGTACAAATGCAATAATTATTCGACGCTTTTTTCCGTCAAAACGACGTTTTCTTTCTCTGAATCGATTGTAAGCAATGCTACGGCTGAGCGCCAACGCGCGTAGTGACGTCACTGCAATGTGGCGGTCATTCGAAACTTTTCAAACGCCGTTCATTTTAAAATCGTGTTTGCTAATCACAACGATTTCTCTTGACAAAAAAATGAGTACCACTAATTTTTTTAATGTGCTTGGAGTTCATTTTCAAGGTTTTTGAAAAAACGCGGAAAACCCCATTGATGTGAAACTATTAGTAGTGGGAAATTTAAAACTCTGCGGGTATAAAATAAAATATATAGGTACTGATAAACTCAAAATGCTCCTCTCATTCATTCGAATCGAATTTTATGGTAGGTACAGACAATGCAATTTTATCAATAGGTATGTGAATTGTAAACGATGGACGAATAATTAGTTAAGTACTTGTGTACAACCGTACAACGTTTCAGAGCGTTATTCCAGGTATTATTATTGAACGGGGTGGAATGAATGAGACTATGTCACAATCGTGCATTGTTTGAGAAGTAAATGGGAATGAAATGTACCTATCTACCAACTTTATACTTACTCCATTGTTTAACAAAGTATTTAATTTTAAACAGTGCTCACATATTAACAGACTCATATTTAATTAAGGCTTAAGGTTATTGTTTATTACCTACCTACACTGTATGCAGTTATACAAAAGATCGGATTTAAACGAGTAATTTCCTTCCTCATAGATACCTACAGGCTAAAATTAGTTTACGTTAAATTCTCGTCTTATCATCGTGATTATTTATACATACCTTATTTTGATTAACCTATTCGGCTATCCCATGAATAGTACGAAAAATTCTAACCAAAAATCCCATCAACTGAATACCGAACTATAGTCGAGATCTTCACATATACATCATTTTTTGAATCAGCATTAGTTTTGCTTTTATTCGAGGTGCCTACGTACACAATTTCATTTAAATATCTTAACAAATAAAAAAATTGGAATTTCGCAAACACAAAATAAGTTGGGTTGCGCTTGCGCAATTTTTTTTATTCATCCATATAGTTGCCTGAGGTTTAAGGAATATTTACTAACACAAAAAACCGGACATTCATATGATCTTTGTAACAAGACTTATTTAAAAAAACTCTTTTCTGGAGGTTTGGGCAGTTTTTGGGCTGCAACTTTTTCACCCGTCAATCTACGTAGCCGAAAAAAAATAGGGACCGTTCTTATATCCTGAAGAACATGTGTATCAATTTTCAAAGCGATCGGATGTTTCTGCACAAAGTTATCGTGCACACGGATAGACAGACAGACGGACAGGCAGACAGACGAGGATCGTTAATAAGTAATGACCTTACCTACTATAAAGGAAGTGATTGATTTCTGACAAAGTACCAACCCAAACCCGCTGTATGTGTAAAGCACAAAATATCAGCCAAATGAACCCGCTATTTGTGATTCTGGCCGAAACTGTATGTAAAACGATATGATTTCAGGCGGTATTCCCAATCCTCTGCTAGGTACCTCAAAGTCTTTGAGATTAGAAGA